TATGGATTGACACCTGTCCTAAGGATCCCTGATACACACTGACACAGAGCAGAATAGGGACTGTTCCCCCTACATCGGGTCACTTGGCAGATGTGGATTGACACCTGTCCTAAGGTTCCCTGATACACACTGACACAGAGCAGAATAGGGACTGGTCCCCCTACATCGGGTCACTTGGCAGATATGGATTGACACCTTGTTACAAACTGCTATTTGTAACGGGCCCTGTAAATGGCAAATTGCCCTGCTTCCATGGGTTGTGGAGAAGCCTATTTGCCAGCCTCCTCCCGCATGACTATGGCCCCTGGGAGATTGTGAAAATGTATGCACTTTTATTTGGTGTGTATGGCCCTTTAAGACTGTTGGTGGGCATATTGGGGCTTATGGACTCTTTATGTGACTGGTGCTGGCCCTTTAAACACCTTTTCTGGGACATCAGGAAGATTGGGACACTGCCCTTTAAGGCCGTGTCCCCAGACTTGTTGGGGACACGGCCCCTTTAAGACGGTGTCCCCTGTGTCCCCAGACCTGGTGCAAACCCTTTGTGCCTGCCTTGCTATTTCCCACTTGGTTCAGTAAATGGGAAATTATTTCAGCTGCAGAGACTAAGTCCCATTCGGCGATGGGACTTGGTCTTTTTTTCAGCCGTTTTTTTCAGCCTTATTTCAGCTGCAGAGACTAAGTCCCATTCGCGATGGGACTTAGTCGTTTTTTCAGCCTGAAATAGACCGACCTCACAGCCCAAATCTATGAACTGTTTTGGGCAGGAAAATGTGCTTGCAGTCGGTCATAAAGGGACCTCCAGCTAACTTTTTAACCCCTGGATGGATTTGGCTGATTTTTGGTTATGTTTATGTTTTAAGTGCGCTGATTCCAAATATGTAATTATGAAGATGGGATGTGTAGTTTTAAAGTTACAGTGTATGGCTAAAAACTGTATTTTTACTGCCTGTGTTTAATTATGTTAATCTCTTCCAAACGTCATTTCGTTCAAAGTGGAGAAATTAAAAAATATATTTTTGTTTCCAGTGTGAGAAATACTTTTCAGCCGCTTCTAATCTTAAGCATCATTTGAAGAGCCATACAGGAGAGAAACCTTATTTGTGGTGTGTTTAGTATTGTTCTGATCAGTTTAATACCTTCCGCGTCTCCTATCAGTGGGCGTGTATATGGCAGCCATTTTAGGAACCGTACACCTGGGACCCGAGCAAGGTCACCTCGTTCAACAGGCTTGCAGCGTATCCTCCAGGAAGAAGAGCCTGAACCCTTACCGGCTGCACGTGTCTTACCTGTACATGGAAAGCTGCTGTGGTTCCTTGATGAGCCAGCTGCCCGTGAGTTAACATATCCCGTGGAGAAGCACTCTGTCCTGTAAAACCTCACCAAAAAAAAGGAGTGGTGTGTTTAGTATTGTTCTGATCAGTTTAATACCTTTCGCGTCTCCTATCAGTGGACGTGTACACGGCATTGATTTTTGTAACAGGAGATGGAAGAAAGAGGCTTGGTGGGATGCTTCTTACTTTGCAAATTTGGGGCACTCGCGGTCAAACTAATGTGACACCAGATGGGAGTGGTATTGTTTAGTACTATTTTATCCGGATTTAATACCTTCAGCGTCTCTATCCCGATTGGGCGTCAATGCACTACGGCTTTGATTTTGTAACAGGGAGATGGAAGAGAGGCTTGGTGGGGTCCTCTTACCACAAATTTGGGGAACTCTGGCGGTCAAGCTAATGTGACACCAGATGGGAGTGGTAATGTTTGGTACTATTTTTTATCCAGTTTAATTACCTTCGGCGTCTCCTATCAGTGGTCGTGTACACGGCAGTAATTTCTGTAACAGGCAGATGGAAGAAGATGCTTGGTCGGTCCTCCTAACTGGAGACTGTGTTGCTGTACGGGTGGCAGGTGGAACCATTTATAAAGTACACACTGCTTTATAAAGCCATTTATAAAGTACACACTGGCGGCTTGAACCCAAGTTGGTGGCGGATAAGTCACGCAAGTCAACAGGCATTCAGAGCTAAAATACAGCAGTGTGTGGACCATTTTTAGCCCAAGGCAGCTCATCTCATCAGGCCTTTTATACATAGGGTCACTTGGGAGATATGGATTGACACCTGTCCTAGGGATCCCTGATACACACTGACACAGAGCAGAATAGGGACTGTTCCTCCTACATAGGGTCACATGGCAGATATGGATTGACACCTGTCCTCAGAGCCCCTGATACACACTGACACAGATCAGAATAGGGAATGTTACCCCAACATAGAGTCACTTAGCAGATATGGATTGACACCTGTCCTCAG